TGCTTCTTAACATTCATGATTTAATCTTACCCTGAATTGTTCGTTCGAGAGATTGGAAATAGAATTAGGCAAATTTTACCATCTCAAACTGAAGATAATGAAGCTTAAAAAAAAGATACAGCTTTCAAAAGAAAAGAAAGAAAATTGGACACATCGATTCTTTTGAAGAGCTGAGCAGAAATTCAAACAGTTAAAGACTTGAGTCAGTCAACATAGGTTGTTTGTTAAGATAGTGGGTACATAGTTTTAAAGGAGTCAAATGAAAAAGTAAATATATGGCAGGTACACATATCAAAAACTAGCCGTGAAAGATACGCTGGAGTTCAAACAAGGATCAAGGATTGTATAGCTGTACGCCTGTGACCAATCAAAATCACAAGAAGCCGCCTTCAAATTCATTGCCAAAAAAGGAAAGTTCTAAGGAGTGACTCAATAGAAACCAGCGATAGCACATATCCGAAATTCTGCAAGTGCAGCTGCTGAAAGTATTTTCAACACAGAATCAAATCATGGTGACAGAGGCAGAGAAGTAGATGGGAAAACTTTACTAGTATTTATCAGGAAATGGGGAATTAGACAGGAAAACTTTACCAATATGTTATCATATTAGATAGGGAAGCTTTACTAATATGAAAAGCTTTTCCATCTAATTCCCCGTTCCCTTATAAATACTAGTAAAGCTTCCCTATCTAATATGATATATTAGTTACAATATTATCTATACGAAATGCAGATTACTCTGAATGTTTGCAATTGTCTTTCATTTTTCTCTCCACGTTGCTGGTGTTCCCACTTCTCTGTCCTGTCACCATGGTTTAATTCTGTGTTGAAAATACTCTCATTACAGAATTTCCGATATGTACTACCGCTCTTCACTGCTAAGTGAAATAGAAAAATGAAGTATCTTTCATTTCGTAAATTCAAGCATCAAATATGCTTAACAAAAATGAAAAATTGGGCAGAGTAACAATCAACGCTAGCTTAAGTCTTTAACTGTTTGAATTTCTTATTTGAAAAAGAAGTCGTCAGATTGTAGATATCTTTAATATCACTTCCTAGGATGGACGGACTTGCAGAACTAAGCCAGCTCCATCTATCCAGTTTGGAGTTATCCTTAGGATGGCTGATCTGGATAATAGTATATCCACGTGTTTACCCTTCAGCTGAGACCTGTCATATATGTCATTTCCAATACTGCTCGCAACCTCATATAGATATATGAAGCTGCTTCTCTACGACAAAGGAGTATCTGCGAAAAGCGAAGAATTTGTAAATGCCTGAAAGCATAACAAGATGCATCATTTTGGTCGACTAAACAAAAGTTATGGGTTTGAGCGGTATGGGTCAAGTTATCGGAAGTACAAATCTTCCCTGTATCAGTGTGAAACTATTCTCTGCAATTCCAATTCTTGGCGTCAATAATAAGTAAGCACACTTTGATAAAGATGAAACATGCAACAATTCATATGATAATATAATAGCGAATGATAACACTAATCAAAGTAGAATATTTCGAACAACGATTAATTGCTTTTGTAATGAAATAGCATAAAACAATTGAAGAAGAGAACGTTCCACAAAAAGAACTGCCTAAAGTTAAATTCATTATTAAGAAATATCCATGAATGAAAAGGTGAAGATGAAATCCTAATCCAAGTTGATTTGAATGAAGGATGTCTTCGACCGAGAAAAACTGATAGACTTATAAATGAAATGGATGAATAGTAATTACAGCTAACGGAAAGAGTTGTTGCAGTTCATAGGAACAAATGAGTGAGTGATTACATCGTTCATGAAATATTTTCTCTTTTTAATATGAACAATGAAAATATACAAAATGGCATAAGGATTACTGTTTGACGCCGATTTCTCACTTACTTCCGGTTCCTTTGGGCATGCTCGAATAGAGGTACTTCGTGCAGTGAGCTGATCATTGTTTTAGTGGCGCAGATTGTCAGCACTCCTTTATCGGACAAATGCGATTCGATAGTGTCAGTTTGCACTTCCTCTGGCATGACGTATTTTCGAACGAAGTGACGTTCAATGCTGCCACGTCCTGATTGATCGTTACGTTCTTTGTGATGACCCTCAATACTTAGTTCACGATCTCGAACTGATACCGAAAGTTCCTTAAGATAGAAATGAAACGTAATGTGTCACAAAATGCACAAATGATCATTAAACTTTTCAATTTTTGTTTGTAATCAGAGTTGTCCTCATAGAATGATTGCCAAAGCCTATCTTTTCTTGTCAAGAAATGTCATAGTAATGCTGAACCAATCAGAATATTTTGTGTACTGTTTATTTTATATATTAATAGGAAGCATAGTAAAATACCGGAATAACGAAAATTCAAATTTCACCATCATCGATGTTATTAACGTAATTGCGTTGATAGAAGTATGAACATATCTTCAGGAAAACATCTCTTGTTTACAACTTCCCGTGTACTTCTTATTTAAGGGTAGAAATTTCCTAGTTACCCTTAAATTCAATTTCAAATTTAATATTTGAGAACATGCTTTCATTAATGAAAATAAGTGGTAATAATATATCTTTGACTTATCCTTTCTATCAATGTCTTATTCGATAGCACTCGTCGAATCATTGCCCATAATGGAATAGGCTTAACTTGCTTATCGAATTATGCTTAATCGTTAAAAGTAATAGTATTTTGGCAGATTTTTTCAATGTCTGAGAATAGTGAGTTTGAAGACGATATTGCAATGGGCTGCATCGTTGCGGTTAGTATTTCAACAAATATATAATTGATTATTAAATTTGGTTTAAATAAAATTAGAACCATCAGTCAGTCCCTTTTTAGCAGCTAACACAAAGAATATAAGTACTTGCAACAAATATTGAGGTACTGATATTTGATTTTGTTAAAATCCTAAGATCATAAACGTAAACACTGAATTTGGAGATTACCATTTTCATACAAATTCATTAAGTTAATCGGTTTTATTACTTTAACAGAATGCATTATAGATATCGGTCTTTGGACTGATTAGCAATGGCTTATCCTTTTATTTAACACGTACAAGATCACGTTTCCGTAATGCATTTGGAATTTTATGCAGTAGCTTTCTAATCTGTAATTTGCAAGCTATAATTGTCCTTCTCACGTGGTGTACCATTGTTCTAAGTCTGTAAGTTCTACTTATGAAAAAGATTAATTTCTCATTATTTACGAAATTTTCTTCCGGTTTTTTGTTTTATTTGGAAAATTCCACTTTGAGGAAGTCTCCAATATTATCGTCACCAGAACTGTTTTCCGTACGATTAGTTGGTGTTATTTTGAACGGAGCATGGTTTGGGTCGATTCTTATGCATTTTTTAACAGCCATCAATAGATTCTTTGCTTTCGTTTATGCGACAAGGTACAATCAGTTATGGTCAGAAGGGAGGACTTTCAAAATTGCGATCATCTTTTGGACAATCTCAATGGTCTACTGCACCCATCATTTGTACGGTAAGCAATTGATTTGATCATATCTTTTGCTTGCAAGAGCATGCGTAACTTGCAGCGTGCGAACTTGCAACATGCAATAACCCTTTGTTATTCCTTCATGAAAATTGCAGAAAATTGTTCGCTTCTATTTAATTATGGCTCGAAGTATCGTTGGTTACATCACACTTCTTACCATGGTCAGATATGTGCTAGAATTGATGCTATAGTATCAGTAGCTCTGATAGTAGCAATGGCATGCACTGACTTTATTACCTTACTCAAAATAATTGCATATCACAGAGTAAGTTAATTTCTGATAAAGAAATGCCTTAAGGAAATGATAAATCTGATATGCAGATTGCAGGCAAAGATTATTTCTTGAACTTTAGACAATGCGAAGAAATACGACAGAGTCAACAACTGTTAGTGTTATTAATGAAAAAGAAGTATTGTTCTTCAAACAGGTAATAATGAGAAATTGAAAAAAAATGTTTATGAAAGAAGTGAGGAAAAGCTTGATTGCTGCAAGAGTTAGTCGACCAAGTTTAAATTCCGTTTAAAGCTTGAATTTTAAATTTAAATTGATATCAATTGTATTAATATCACTCTTGAGTCATGCAAACTTGGCTTGCTCTACATCTCATGTGCTGTAACATACAATATTCCTTCATATTTATTGACCGATAAATGGATGCTATTCATATCAAGCACGATCGCAGTACTTTTGGTGCATTCACTAGATGGGTAAGTTTTTTTCTGTTAAAATTATTTCCCAAAACCCTTAGTCTAATAAACTTACCAATTATTTAATTTGTTGCAACAGTCCAGGTTCATATAACAAATAGTTTCAATAACTTTTTTTTTTTCAGTATCTTCACGATCGCTCAAAAGAAAGTGTTCATTTTTTCAGATTGATTTTTCTAGTTTTCAACCGGAAGCTTATTTGCAAAACAAATTTCGATGGAACATCAATAGCACCAGCTACAAATTTTCAAGTAAATCGACGAAGTGAATAGTTCTCATGCATTTTTATGTGACGGATTGGTTATTTCCACATGAAATTGCACATTTTTTTTCGGTTATAATCTTTTGCAAATTAATTTGATTGTTTTAGCGATTAGCTAGGTGCGGTACATTTGCCGGTGGCTTTTCAAGTTTTGTGCTTTTCAAGACTAATCAAATATTATTTGATATTTTGAAAGATTGTATGAATTGAAATAACTGATTTTGCTTTATACATTGTTTTAAGAGATCTATAAACATATTTCCATGAAATATCTCTTGTTTACAACACCGATGTATTTCTTATGCAAGGGCAAAAAATTCCCACTTAAATTCAATTTGAATTCTCACTAATGAAAATAAGTAGTGGTGATAATGTACCTTTGCCTTACCTCTTTTCATCTACTTCCTAGCTTCATTTTCCTAGCTTTGTTCAATAACACTTCTCGAACCATTAAGCGTGGTCAACAAGGCTAAATGATCAAATTTAACTAAATTTTTAAACCTAATTGTATTTTTCGCCAATTTCTTCAAGTGTGTCATAATGGGTAAAAACAGTGAGTTTGAAGACGATATTGCAATAGCCTGCATTACTATGGTTGGTATTTTATCAACATAATTAATTAATTAATTAGTAGTTTTGGTTTAGATAATCATACGGAGATAAGAACTGAAAACCAAGGACGATGCAAAGACAATTTTCTTTCCATTAGACACTCAAAAGGATGTAAGCTTTTTCAACGAGCATTGAAACGAGCGAGAATGTGAAAGTTGAAGCTCACGGATTACAGTTTGAATTCTATTCAAGAACAGTAATTTCCATCAATTTCATACTTTTATTTCAAATGCATCTTAGGTAGCGATTTTTGGATTACTCAGTAATGGAATGTCACTCTACATTACACGTACGGGTTCACGTTTCCGTAACGCATTTGGAATTTTATGCACAAGTTTCCTGATATGCAACTTGCAAGCTATATTTTCACTCTCCGCATGGTGTATCATTGTTTTAACCGTGTAAGTTGCGCTTACTAACTGAATATTCTCCCTTTTCTTCTATCCTTAATATTCCTTTTATTTGATTAACAAAATTTTTCTAGGAAATCTCAAAAACTATCATTGCCAGAATTCTTCTTCACACGACCAGTGGGCATTTTTGTGAATGGAGCATATTATGGATCGCTTTTTGTACACTTTTTCGTCGCTGTCAATCGATTTTGTGCTTTCGTTTATGCCACAAAATACAATCAGTTATGGTCGAAATCCAAGGCTATATTAGTTGGAGTTATGTCCTGGGTGGTCGGGACTACCATAAGCATGGCACATTTATACAGTAAGCTCATATATTATCACTCATACACTATCACTACCATAAGCATGGCACATTTATACAGTAAGCTCATATATTATCACTCATACACTATCACTACCATAAGCATGGCACATTTATACAGTAAGCTCATATATTATCACTCATATACCATCACTACCATAAGCATGGCACATTTATACAGTAAGCTCATATATTATCACTCATATACCATCACTACCATAAGCATGGCACATTTATACAGTAAGCTCATATATTATCATTCATATACCATCACTACCATAAGCATGGCACATTTATACAGTAAGCTCATATATTATCACTCATATACCATCACTACCATAAGCATGGCACATTTATACAGTAAGCTCATATATTATCACTCATATACTATCACTACCATAAGCATGGCACATTTATACAGTAAGCTCATATATTATCACTCATATACCATCACTACCATAAGCATGGCACATTTATACAGTAAGCTCATATATTATCACTCATATACTATCACTACCATAAGCATGGCACATTTATACAGTAAGCTCATATATTATCACTCATATACTTTCACTACCATAAGCATGGCACATTTATACAGTAAGCTCATATATTATCACTCATATACCATCACTACCATAGGCATGGCACATTTATACAGTAAGCTCATATATTATCACTCATATACTATCACTACCATAAGCATTATACAGTAAGCTCACCATATTTCATCATGTATTAAGTATTTTGTAACGTGTTCGTCAAGAATCTGTAAGCATCACGTGAAATATTTGCATAAATCTTACAAAACAAACAAATGATGTAAAGTATCTATGAATATGTAGCTAAATTTTGTTGATCGACTTGGAAAAATGAACAAGTTAAATGGACTTTTTCCGATTAATTTAAACCAAGCATTATTTGCAGCAATTCCGTTTCAGGATTCTTATTCGTTATTTATATGCATTACTTCCCAGCAGGTTTTTCTAACATCCTTAAATGTTAATTTCAATTTAACCAAAAACTACGGTAGTTATTTGAACGAGAAAATTTTTTGAAGGCGATTGTTCACTTACATTTAATAAGAATTATTCCTATCGATTTTCTTATTCACGTTCTCTCGCTGGTAAAATATGTTCCAACACTGATGCTTCAATAACAGTGATAACAGTGACGTCAATGGCATGCTTCGATTTCACTACATTGATTAAAATACTTGCATATCAGAGAGTAAGTTTACCTCTGGTGAATTTATAATCATTGCATGAATAGCAGCAGTGATGGCAATTTCCTCATTTCTCATTTTCCTGAAAAAGAGGTTTTTTGAAGGTAATGCATTGTGCTAACTGTTATTATTTTCATTTGATGACTGCTTTAGAGAATGCGAGCAAATACCATTACATCAACGAGTGAAGCAGTCAGAGCGCGAGGTATCTTGTTCTTTAGACAGGTAATGAGCAGAATTTCAAATTATTGTTAGAACTAAACTGAAGGCTACTTAGAAATGACAATTAAAGGTTACAAAACTGAGCGACAAATTCAGTGTGCTTTCTTCGAAAATTGCAAGCAATACGAGCAAACAAATGCCAATGTTATGCAATACTTTTAAATTATTGTCATTGCAGTCATGCATACTTGGAGTAATTTATATATCGTATACTTTTATATTGATTATCCATCCATTCACTAATAAATGGGTGCTATTTGTGTCGACCACTATATCATGGATTCTGGTGCAATCATTGGATGGGTAAGTGGTCCTTCATTATTTTGCCACCAAAAGCACCTATTATTAGTGATGTTATTGATAAAATGCAGTCAGAAAGTAACTCTGAGGAGCTCTGCACTAATATGTCAACTTCATATGACAATTCAGTGACACATTTCTCAGTTTGCGCATTCGTCCTTTTTATGTCTACTTCAATATTTTAAGGATGCTTTGCGTTTTGCTCTATTGCATCTAATTTTGAGAGTTTCAAGAGAAATATAGTGTTTCTAGAATGACTTTCCTGTTGTTTAACCACAACCTTATCTGCAAAAAAAATTCCGGTACAACAGTGACAACAGCGCCAGTCACAAATTGGATACAAACAAGACAATGAATTGAACAGATTTGGTAGCTTTATATGTTGAATCGATTATTCTTATATGAAATAGGTAATTTTTGATACTCAAATGTCAGTGTGAAATGTATTAATGTGAGTAACATTTTAGCAATTAAATTAGCATTCGAATTCATATTTCTTTGATTGACAATTAAAAAATTGTTGACTAGCTGCGCTCGATGCATCAGTGATAAAAGTTTAATTTTTCTATCCAACGTAATATGTGATAAGGTTTCCATATCACTTAATTCACCGACTTTTATCACCAGCAAATAGATTATCTCTGCACTTTTACTTTTTTTAATCAAAAGAAATTTAAGTAAATTGAAATTAGTAGGATAACAAATCACAATTGAAACTTAGTAAAAAAAGAAAAAGTAACATGAACAACCTTTATGGAAGCTCCTAAAAATGTCCCTTTTTTTCTTCCTCCTCCTTTTTAACTCTCGGAATATTAGGGTCTGATTCTCTTAAGTTTATCGGCATTTAATTTTTGTTGGCCTGCAACTCTAATGTACCTTTGATGTTCTTCGAATAGATGTTTGAAAGTTACAATGAAAGACATAATTAATCCATTATAGGATGGATGTGAGATAATAAGAACAAAAATATGATCACAAAAAAACTTTGAGCATCTGAAAAATCAAACTCTGCCGGGATTTCGTACATGCAGCAAGATTTTATCAGGTCCAATAGGTATGAGAAGCTGCTGATTGGAATAATCTCACTAATATTATGCATACTCTCCAAAGTAGTTCTCATAGGGAGGGAGAAGAATTTTTATAGGAAGATTATAGGCAAATATAGAGAAATTCTTATAAGGGCAAAGCACTTCGAAATTACTAAGATCGTTTAGATGCTACTAAACACAAACTTTATGATTGTTAAAAGAATTTGTAATAGAAATTATCACAGTTTTGTAATAAGGGAAAGCGGAAAATAAGAAAAGGTATATAGCTAAGACAAACATCTTAGTTGGATAATGGGTTGCGAAGACGAAATTGGCACTAATTTTTTTTTTTTTTTTTTTAATATGTAAATGTAAACGCATACTTTTTGTTGATAAATAATGAGAAATTCGTTTCAACAATATCTAAGAGAACAGTTGTTGCGAAACTCTAATAACTTACAAAATATATCAGATAAAATTGTATTAATCCATAATACTAAAATTCGTTCTAATTGAACATTAGAAATGCAAAAGTGTTTCAAATTATGTAAGCAATCATTATTTCAACACTCATTTTCCCATTACAATTGCGCTTATTTGCCTGTCTAGACATTTCCATCTGATAACAAAGGGTATGTGCATTGTTTAATATGTTAAGAATTACTTCTTTGTTCCAAATCAAATTTGCTTGCAATGTCGAAATATTGTAAAGGTCTCCTAAGCTGATAGTCATCCTTTGGGAAGCTACAATATTAAAACCATCTCTTACTATATAAAGAACAGAGATCATCTGATAGCTCCTTACTCAATAATCATGCTCTGTTGCAAGTTAATGCCCCCTATACAAGGCCTTTGTCTCGATCAGTTTTTATCAGTGCTTTCCTTACCAGTAAGCTACAATTAGGCTGTTCCCCTCACTCACAATTCAGTTAATTTCACCATCAATTTATTCATTTATCCATTTTCTTCATCTTTTTCCTAAAATTCTACAAAATTATCAGTATTGTTACTATAGATTAATACTTATATATCGTAGTTGCTCACAAATAAATTTGTTACAATAGACCTATCATTCAACGCATTCATCTACACCAACTACGATAGCAAACAAGGAAGGCTTTTGAGCATACGAAAACTCAATTCGACTCTGAGCCACAAGTTATATTCAGACTGAACCACAAATTTCATGATTCAATGAACGTAAAGATCAGTCAGGATATGGCAGCATTGAATGCCATTTCGTTCGAAAATATGTCCTGTGCAAACTGACTAATTGTCATGTATCGAATCGCATTTATCCGACAAAGGAGTGCTAACAATCTGCGCCACCAAAACAATGATCGGCTCACTGCAGCACGAAGTATTTCTATTCGAGCATCTCCAAAGGAACCGGAAGTAAGTGAGAAATCGGCGTCAAACAGTAATCCCTATGCCATTTTGTATATTTTCATTGTACATATTAAAAAGAGAAAATATTTCATGAACGATGTAATCACTCACTCATTTGTTCCTATGAACTGCAACAACTCTGTAATTACTATTCATCCATTTCATTTATAAGTCTATCAGCTTTTCTCGGTCGAAGACATCCTTCATTCAAATCAACTTGGAGTGGGATTTCATCTTCACCTTTTCATTCATGGATATTTCTTAATAATGAATTTAACTTTAGGCAGTTCTTTTTGTCGAACGTTCTCTTCTTCTGTACGGAAACTGGTCATATACGGTGTGCCATTTGACAGCTTAAATAATAAAACAAACTTTAATAATTAAGTTTTTTAATAATATTTCAGTAGCGAAATTAATAAAGTTTTTAATTAGTCATAGTTTTAGATCATTTTTTACAATTATAAACTAATTTCAATCATAAACTAAATTTAAATACGGATATTTATGGAAATCCTACAGTTTGTAAGCGTTTTTGCACATTAACCTAAGAAATAAATTCTAGTGTAATCAAATTACATTTTAATTAAGTGCTAAAACTTTTAAGGAATAGCAGATCATTTAAAAAAGTAGGTAATAAGAATTTAGTTGATTATTTTATAGATGGAAAAGCTTTACTAGTATGTTATCGTTTTTCTCGATCTCCAGAAAGTTGAAAAAAGCAAGCTGCTCAAATTATAATTAAGTAAACTGATGCATATTTACATGCATATTACATTTATCACAATTTATTTGATCCAAACAAATAACACACCGATCAAAGAGCAATGATAAAAAATAAACAATGAGTGAGACACATTAGGTGAATTGTCGATATTCAAATTATTTACTTCTATTCCTATACAAGACATTCAGGCTAGAAAATCATTGGACGATTCTATGATGTTATCGTCCGCTAAGCTTAAACGTCGTTTTAATGGTACAAAATGGTGTGTACTTATTGTACTAATTGTCATATCACCAACAAAAAGACTGCAGCCATAACCAACCATTTGTGGATTTATATGTCCACTAATTTCTATATCTGCCCTGAACAGTGTCAAGGTTATATTAATTAAGAGTTGCAAGATTAATTAGAAATTATGAAAGCTCTTTTTCATCATTTCTAATTGCATTAACTGTCCCATCGTTAATTTTTATCTTTTGAATATCATCAAAATGATTTTGTAAAACTGAATACAAAATTTTAGGCAAAAGCTTCATAGGTACTTACCTGTATCCATGATACCATCTTTTGGTGATAAATTTGAGTGATGGATGCTCTAAGATCATTTTATGATGCGTTGTTTTCGGATCAATTTCTAATTTCATGACTACATCATCAATCTGGAAATCACTATCACTGCATGGTTTTGTTAAACACAACAATTATTGTAATGGTGTTACTGTATTTCAAATATTATATTCGTTAAAAATCATATTATATATGCAGTAGAGATATGATAGAATTTTTTCGGTAATTTTTCGGTAATTTTGAAAGAAAATATGATGATTATTATTCATTAAATAAACATGTTCTTTTAAAATATTCAAAAAATAAGAGGAAATGGAAAAGAACTTTAAAATTATGGTTGGTTTCACCATCTATCACTTCAAAATTGGTCGATAGGACTGTTGTTGATTGTTGTTTATCGTCTGGAACAACGTAACCACGTAATGAAAAGCATTTTTCATTTTTATCAATTAGTACACCCTAAAATGATTGTATTCATTAATAATATCGTTTTCATATAGTACGAATCGTAATGCAAAATCGAAATGCATAATCGGAATATTATTGATGCGTAAAGTTATAAATGTTGTGAACATGTAAATAAAATATTTATTTCTTGAATACTTTTGACTATCCGAATTAAATTTAATTCTAAATGTAAAATATATGCATGTAGAGGTATGACAGAATATGTTTTTCTGAAAAATAAGAAATGATATTACTAATTTTTGACTGCTGAATTAAAGCACTACGTTTGGTGAGACAAAAAAATTGCTGAACAAATGCATCACAGACTTCTTTTAACAAATTTCATTTACAGTTCTTTCAATTATAGCTATATCTGCCGGAAGAATCCATGCTGAATGGCGGCTGGATGTGCGCAACAATTAACGTGGAATACGATTCCAACTAAATATTTCAGAAATGGACAAAAAAAGTGAAATTAGTTAGACACTGTCCTGATTTGGATTACTGTCATAACTAAAGTTGTAGTTTTATCGCAATGAACTATGCTTGTTGTAGCCTTTACAAAGTATCATTTTTAAATAAAAAAAAAAAAAGTACTTGAAGAAGAATAAATTGTTTATTGTCTTTGGAATAGAAAAGATTTATTGTCTTTGGTTTATTGTCTTTGGAATAGAAAAGAGGGCAGTTAAGCAGGTAAGGGCCAATGTTAATCTAAAATGTGAAGCAAAACAGAAATTAAAAAGACAACAAAAGTCATTTTAAATCATCGATAATATAATATCATCAATTTTGAGATAAATTTTTAATTGAAATATAAAAATTGCTAAATTTGTTTTATATTTCTTTCAAAGAATATATTTTCTATGATATTACCATCTTTAATTAATTGATTAAAATTGTTAATTCATTTACGTATTGTTTTTCCTATTTGTTAACAACTTTCTTCTTTTCGTTGAAAAACTTTGATGGACAGCGTCTGCGGTAATGTTTTCTTTCGCTGAACTGATAAAGTTAATAATATTATGATAAGAAAAGGTAATAACTTAGCAATATTAATGGGAGGAAATCAAAATGATAACTTTGTATGACATTATTTGCATTCCTATCAGTAATATTTCCATTGTTATTTAAGAACTTTTAAAAAATTTTTGATTTTTTTTTAAATAAATATTCGAAAAAGCATTTATGTACTTCTTTGTT